TTCGATTCATCATAAACGAATTCGCCCACATAGAGGGGAATTCGATTCGAAGCGGTTGTGTTGTTACCGTTTCGCTTGAACTCCGTCATAATAGTTCCTTCGATCTTGCGGATGATCTCCACAAGCTTGTTACCCTTCCACATCCCTTCAAGCAGCATGGCACCCGTTTTATCGTCATACGCGATGCCCCATCCTTCTCGTTCTCGCTTCTCATTGAATTCACCGTGATAAATCAGGTGATCACTCGCATGCGAATAGATTTCCATTCGCTCGCCTCGGACATGGTTTATAATACGATGAAAATCATGCTGATCCAGAATTTCGTCAAATGATTGCACAAATGCGACACGTCCATTATCAAATCGGGTAAAGTCGCCGATTTCGCTCTCGTTCGCATCCACCTCGTAACACATCTTCAGTATGCCATTTTGGAATAGGCAAACCTTCCCAGCTCTCGTCAACGTGTATTCTTCCTCGTGATCGCCTTGATAATATTGGAGGCTATAGTTGCAACCGCCAATAGTGATTTCCTTTGCTTCACCAAGCGTTATGTAACCGTCCAGGAGAAATTCGCTTCCCTTAAGTTCTTCCATTCTACCTATTTGGAATCACATATCCTTAGCCTCTACTCTTTGAATCCGTAATTTGCAGCCAAATATAAAGAATTTATGAAGAAAACAGAGAGATCAGTTTGTTTCCTTACACCTAAGTATTCTTCATATTTAAAAATTATGATAGAGTGCTACCATATACACATTGGATCCAAGATTTCCAAGTGAAGTACTCACTTGTGTTTCGCATCATTTTGTTCACATTTTTGTGGTTGAAATAGTTCGGAGGTATAGATATTTATAATATTTATAATATCAGGATTGTTTGGAAACACTCAGAATGGAAAAGTCCATTTTGTTGTCTACTATGTCTGTATAGGTTGTATATTTATGATATCATAGTGAAATCGTGTTATGAAGCAAGGATTTGGTTGTTCACTCCACTTTGTCTAAATACTCTATATTATCATTATCATCATTATTATTATTTTGATAATCCAATCTATCCATCCATGATTCTAGCCAAATCATTTTGACTTGGGACTGGTTGGGTTTGAAAGCAATTCAAACTAGTAAAACTAGTAAATCAAATCGAATGGAATGGAAATTGGTTTTGATCCAGTGATTTTCACACAAAGAACCTATCTTCGCACATCGTTAACCATTCACTCCATTTTCTATCATTTCCTTATCCTAAACCAACCAACTAACTCTAAATACACTTTCTTTCTATCTATCTTTCTTTGTTTCAACTATCAACTCACAGCACTCTATTTTTATTCTTATTATTATCAAGTAGAGTCGTTTGGTTCCTCGTTCTGGATTATTCTGTTCATGTTTCTAAATCATTCCAACACCCTACACACTCTAAATCTACATTTTCCTTCTTTCCTTCCTAAACACATTTTCGATTCTCATTCAAATCCTACAACGCTTCAACCATTCCACATCTCTACAATTCCATCCATCCATCCATCCATCTTCCAAACCAAACACCGCAACCATTTCTCTCTCAGCAACTGCCAAATCGGTCTGGATCGTGGAAACGTGGAAACATCGCGACCCACGGCGCACCAGGCGTGATCGACGAGGTGGTCGCGGATGAGCGCGCCGGTCACGTCGTAGGCGAAGAGGAAGCGGAAGCGGAGGCGGAGGCGGAGGGGCTGGGTGACGGAGACCACGGTGGCGTTCTGCGCCCAGTTGGACAGGAAGAGATCCAGAGAGCCCGGTCGACTCTGCACACCTTCGTAGGGAGCCACGGACCCCACCCCATCGCCCACCAGATTCCTGCTCACTCACACCCACACCCACACCCACACCCACACCCAGAGCGAACCGGTGAGCGAGGAGGTTGGCTCGCCGTCCACCACCAACACCCAACGAATTCCGACGTGGCCATCGTGGACACTCCGAATTGCCTGCCCATCCACTCGGCACTGCCCACTTCGCTCGGGACGCACTCCAGCGTGTAGGAAGTCGCGGGGATCCCACCCTCCAACACGTCCCACACATCGCGTCCCGCGGGGAACCAGACGGTTCGGCGGAAGGAGGAAGGAGGAAGGAGGAAGGAGGAAGTGGCGGGAGCGCGAAGCTCGCACGTGGCGATGCAGAGATCATGGAAGGATCCGGTAATCGCCATCGCACAGTCCCACTCAATGCCCTCCGCCTGATTCCACACACACCGCATACAGAACCGCGGGGATCTTCTCTTGGAGGGAGAGATACCCGGTGAACGCGGCCACGCTCAGATAGATGGGCGCGTGCTGCACGCTCTGCACGCTCTGCACGCTCTGCACGCTCTGCACGCTCTGCAGGTCCAGGAAGCAGTTCGTGCTGGCGACCTCGCTCTCGCTCTCGCTCTCGCTCTCGCTCTCGCTCTGGATCACGGCCATCGACGCCATCCACGAGCGTCGCACCACGTAGTACCGAATGCTGGCGCCGCCCAGCTCCGCCGGCTCTGCCCACTGCACGCGCAGCGAGGTCGAGGAGAGCGCGGCCACCTCGAGGTTCTGTACCGCGCCGGGCGCGACGACATACGCGGCGAGGGTGATGGGAGAGGAGGCCTCGGAGAGGATGGAGCACGCGGCGGAGCACAGCGCCACGCGCACCCAGTAGGCCACGCACGCATAGAGAGAGAGCTAAAGAGAGAGAGAGAGCTCGGGTTGCTGGACGTCGCCCTCTTGGAGGAGCGCGTCGGCGGCGAAGAGCTGGGAGTGGGAGCCAACCAAGGCCTGCACGAAGAGCTCGCACCACCACCAGACCCAGCGCACCTGCGTGGCTTCGAAGGCGGCAGCAGCACGACGGGCGCGGAGGCAGGCAGGCAGGCAGCAGCACGACGGGGCGGTAGACGGAGAAGGACGCGAAGGCGGACCAGGAGGCGCCCTTGCGGACACGCCAGCTGATGGCCATCACGCTGTTCACAATGGCGCCCGCCACCAACACGGAGCGCGTCTCGAAGAACTGGCTCTGCACATTGCTGCCCATCAAGGCCATCCATCGGGGCTTCATCGGAGATGCCACTGCTCCAGGGAACCTCCATCTGCACAGACACGCTGCGCTGCGCTGCGCCTACTCCACTTCCCTCATACCAATCGCGCTCTCCACAATGCGAGCAGGCCACAACCGAACGCCAACCGAACGCCAACCGAACGCCAACCGAACGCCGGCGCGGGTCGAGAAGGTCGCGATGAGGGTTTCCGCGGGGAAGGGGAGGCCGTTTCGGGACACCAACCTGTTGGCATTGATGTAGAGCGTGCGTGCCTTCGCAGAACCGCGGGAAGGAGCCATCGAAGGCGAAGGCGAAGGCGAAGGCGAACCCAATGGTGCAGTCGGAGATGGAGATCGCGGTGGTGGGATAGGAGAACGTGGCCTCGGCCAATTCAAACACGATGTGGATGTTCATGGGCTCGAATGGGTCGTTCATCACCTCGCCCACGCCCACATTGCTCGTGCAGTAGATCGTGGATTGCTTCCCATCTCCCATCGTCCACAGCGCCACGTCCCTCGCCCCATCGCCCGCCACGCAGCGCAGCATCGGCAGGATGGGCTGGCAGGAGCCCGTCCCCTATCGATCGATCGATCGATTCCCACTGCTGATAGGCGTTGCACCCATCCGTGATCATGCCCCACTAGTCCACATCGCACTTCGTATCCAACACTTGCCCCAAGTGCCCTTCCGGCTACCCCGCCGCTTCGTCCGCGGGGCACACCACCGCCACGCACCTCACCTCTCTTCCATTCCACCACTTCCCACACGCCCGCACCACGCACACCTCCACCTTCCCATGCTCCACAGACCCACAAATGCAGAACTGCACCGTCTTGGAACTCGCCTCCTCCCACTGCCCATTCCAATTCACTCGGCTCCCATCAATCAGAGGCGAGGACCGTACCCACAGCAGTTCGCATACTCCGCCTTCTTGTCCCATTCTCCCAAGTTCCACACACGCTCCGCTTCTACAAACCTACAGCTCTTGCTCCCATAGTTTGCCCTTTCACTCATCGCAAATCCGTTCTCTCTACCACACTCTACCACCTCACAATATGAAAATGAAAATACGAAAAACAGAACAGATATCCTAGGCAAGAACGTCGTGCCTGTACCAGATACCTCCCACGTTGCAAGTTATCTCCATGTATCCGCGGTCACACATGCCATGAATGGGTTCGCCACGTTGCACAGTTTGAAGTACAGAAATTCCTCACTCGGAACACACTCCACACAGCAAAAATGGAACCAGGGTCCACCGCCATTATGGTATTGAATGCGTTCACGATGCATATCTCACACACACAGTTTAGGCAAAGTAACGATAGCGCACACTACACTAGCTTCTTCAAACACACCAACTTGACGACAGAACCCATCCCAGCTACAATACTTACACTCCCACAACACAACACACAAAAACACATAGAAGTCCGAAAACAAAACAAAAGACAAGACATACAAGTCCAATTCCAAATTTTGAATACATTCAAACCCAGTAAGACGAAGCTAATAGCTTTTATTGTAAAACAAATGATTTCAAAAATACACAGGAATTGTGCAATTGTGAAAATAGTGTTGAAATTGGGTATGAGTGGAAGAATAGATTTCGAATAGGGAGGGAGTTGTTTTTACTGTGAAATGGAAGGAGATGAGCGGAAATGGGATATTGTGGAATGAATAGATCGAAGAGTGTTGTTTCCAGTGGAAGCGTTTTGTTTTTCGTTCTATTCATTTGGAATTTTATCTAGATGGGATAGAAAGAAATAGGGTATGTAGAAGATGATGATAGGAATGAAAATGGAAAAGCTAGCGATAAACAGTTTTTGGGTTATCATTTATAGTAATAGTATGTGATATGTGTATAGTAGAATCGAATAGTAGAGTTTGTGAGAAAGGTGGGTGTGTCGTTGAAGAACTGAGCAAAATAATGTAGAATACATAATATATTTTATACGAACAAATAGAGATATATTCATATTCCACTGTTTCTAGGTTTTTCGATAGTTGGTGTCCAGTTTTTGTCGTTTTGATGTACTCTGAACCTATCAGAGTTTGTTATATTGCCAGAGAATACTATCCCTTATAGTATCCCCCACCTGCCAAATACTGCAGAATATCTCCTATTTAAAGGAAGGATCGAATTGTTCACCACTTCAATAGGGATACAAAGTGATTCACAATGTTGTTCTATTACGAGCATGAATAACAATAGTATACATAATACTTGCTGTTTGAGTTGGTTGATGAAAGTGAAATGCTTTGGTTCCCAACTCATTAGAATGAATAGAATTACTCACTAATAGTGATATCAGTATTGTTGATGATAAAGCTAAAATCCATAAGAATGGACTCTATGGGAATGAGTAGTTGGCCAATATCAAGCTGTGAGACATATCTGGCTGATTTGTTGGAGGCAACAATCAAACTATTACTTTTCAGATATATATATAAGATAGACATTGATATCTATCTATCTATCTATCTTCTTGAATACCTTACTGAAGTTGTACTAGTATGATATCGTGAATGACACGTACACTTGGATCACTTGGCGATTTCGCGTGATATCAATCACGTTCGCTAGTAGTAGGGGAATGGCGGAAAACACGCGGAAATCCATTTTCTACCAAATAACCGCGGTGAACTTTTTTTCTGCCATTTCCACCATTTTTGCCATTGTCTTCCTGACCACCTCGATAGCCATGGCGGAAAACACGCGGAAATCCATTTCCTACCAAATAACCGCGGTGAACTTTTTTTCTGCCATTTTCGACCATTTCCTGCCATTGCCTGCCTGGCTACCTTATTGTCCATAACAAGAAACGCGCGGAAACCCATGGCTGCCAATTTCGGCCAATTCCTGCAATGTTAACCTGACTTCCATTGTAGGCCATGGTATCCATGGATGTCCAAAGTGAAAGATTGCTTCCTTTACTTCAGTCTATAATGCCCGAATGCAAGTGTGTGTATGTTGTCGTCCAAGATCCAACGTTTGTTATCCGTGCAAGTCATGAGTGTCTTGGTTTGTTCTTTCGTGCTGATGTTGAAGGCCTGGTTGTTGATACGCTTGAAAGTACCTTCGATCACTGCATCTTCCTTCTTCTCTGCCTCGAGGACGCGCTTGTACAGCTCGATGTTCTTCACGCTCATCCTCTCTCCATCAATCACCACATTGCGAGGAACTCCCTTCGCTGCGTTATGCACTACATGCTTCTCGTCAATCAAACAGTACATCTTTGGTCTAAGTCCCACGAACTCTGTGATGCGATGCCCGTTATGCTCATCCTTGAAGATGGGACCAGGCAACTTCTTGTTGAAGTTGAGGAACGAGTCCAATGAAGGGAACTTGCTCTTGTCCACTTCGTGATCGTAATACTTCACGAGTTCTCCATAGAAGTAGCTAGTGTTATCCAACTCAGAAAAGTCAAACGACTTGTACATATCGCACATTTTGTGGACGATGTTACCACGGTCGTTCAACTGCACGATGAGCGAATCCGTGTCCTGTCCCAACAACTCCACGTTATCGAATGTGTTCTTGAGCACATTGTAATAGAAGTCGTAGATAATGTGCTTCGACATGTCGAGGATAGCGAACCCGATGAAGAATGGCTTCTCCACCTTGCGCACCGGTGTGTTCAGCTTGATGCCGATCAGATTCTCGGAATACATGGTGGTTCCAGCAATCATGTCGTATCCGTGCTTCTGGATGATAGCCTCACGTTCATTCCACGTGCTAGCGAACTTCACTTTCATTCGTTTCAACCCAGTCTCCACGAATTTGCCATAGGTCGAGTTTGCCAACAGCTTGTACAGGTTCTTCTCCACAGTGGTCTTGGACTTGGCTCGTTTCTCACTCAGCATGTTCACGTACTCGAAGATAAATGGTGCCTGCTTGAAACGGATGATGCGGTGGATGTGAGTGACGTGATAACCCTGTTGAAGACCCAATTGCAGCAGAGAGTAGTGCACGAGATATTTGCGTCGAGGTACAAGATCACAAATGAGTTTCGGTGTATTCACCTCTTTCACTTTGTCCACAATGTCGTTCTTCGCTGCGTACTTCTTGATTCCATCGGAGTACATGCCCGCCTTCTGTACGGGGAAGAATGGCAGATCATTGAACTTGTCGTGTAACTCCACTGGTGCCTTCGATGTCACACTCGATGAAGAATCCATACTTGCCGAACGTCTTGAGTGATTGCACCCATTCATTCGGATCACGGTTGATCCTTTCCATTACTTCTCGTCGCTCAGGTACACCCACCAACTCGCAAGGCATCATTCGATGCATGGCTCCACCGTACAGGTTGTTGGCGTCCAGGTAGTAGATGCCTTGGGACGACGTTGCTTGCTCCTTGTTGTCAATGTCAACCTTGGCATGCCTTTTCACGATCTGTGTGATGCCTCCTCGAAGGTTTTTGAGTAGACGCATGAAGTCATCGATCTCATTTGTCTCCATCAATCGAATTCCCTTGCTCTCATAGAACTCACCCATGCGGTTCAAGAACACTTTCACGAGTTGTTTCTCCTCAAGTCCCTCATTCGCGTTGATGCGCATGATGTACTGAGCCCATTTCCTTGCGAGGGTCATGAGGCTACTCTCGCTATGATCGCCCTCCATTGTGACCTTTAAGAAGAGCGAATAGGCCATTTGTGGTGCTGTGATGTAGTGCATCGGATCAACACCGAATGCCTTCAGTGTGGTAACTCGGAAGTGCTCGAATGCATCAGCCATGAGAGTTACATCGAGTACATTGTACAACTCGTAGTACTCACCCCATGTCTTGATATCGAAGATCTTCCACAGTTTCACCATGTGATCATATTCGCCTTGGGGCATCATTTCTCCCTTCATATCATCAATGCATTGTTCACGAGAAGGAATGGTGGTATTGTTCAATGTGTCGTACGATTTGATGAGGCTGTAAAACATGGGTTCCTTCCGTGTCAACAGATCGATGTACTCGTCATTCCATTGCTTACCTCGTGATTCACAGTACTTGCGTAGTTGTTGTTTGGTGTGCACGTACAAATCGAGGTTCCCACCGAGTGTCTGTGCGACAATGGATCTGAGTGGACTGCTGATGAGTTTCAACGAGTCCTTGAATTGTATGCCATTGTATTCGATCTGCATCTCCTTGTCTTCAGTGGTTGGAATGACTTCCAAGGAGTCACTAGAGGTTGAATGAGCTGCGATGAGTTTCATGATGAATGTGAAGTCGTAGTGCGATCCATTGTGGAAGTAGACGGGTAAACGATAGTTCTTCTTGTTGAAGGAGAGTTGTAGATTGCATTTGGTACAACAGGTGCATATGTACTGCCCTGCTTCGAAGTGACGTACCTCTCCCTTCCCTGTGGTGTATTCACCTGTCACATGTGCATGATGTCGTACTTTGTCGTTATCCAGTTTCTTGTGACAGAAGGGACACACGGTTGTTGCACGAAAGTCCCTCTCGATACTCGGAGAGTTCTCGAGTGGTAATTCATCGAAGAGATACTCTTTCACTCTGCTCTGCAATTGTGTGAGATAGTCCATGAAAGGGCGAAGATCCTCTTCGCTCTCATGTGGTGCATGGAAGACTCGAAGTATGGCTGTCAATGGCTGGAATGCGAGACACGGCTAGACATGATAGCATGATTGGCTTGTGTTTGTTCTTGTCATCAATGGCTGACTCGAAGTCAGCGTACACGACGACCGGTGCTGGCATTTCATATCGCTGGTTGGTGAATCGCAACCGAGTCTCCTCGTTCGACAAATCGTACTGATCACTCTCATCGACAAGTTCACGATGTGTTTGTACTTCGTGATCATGAACGGCTTTGCGAGATCCGAAGAAGTCGTTACAGAATCTGCATTTCACATTTCTTGAGAGATGTCTATTCTTTGCATCGTTCTGTCGTGTCATACGATGCTTGAAATCATTCACATCCTTGATGTACAAGAAGTGTTTGGGCGTTCCCTCAGGTAGATTCAGATCGTTCAAGATGCAGAGGGAGAGAGGAAGCTTCGTTCCCTTACCTTTGTACACGACATCGCATGTGAATAAATCGAATTGTTCCTTCGTCTTATCGGTGTATCCAGGCAAGAGTGTGACCTCGAATACATTGAGCGATACTTTCAACAATGCCTCCAATGCGGCAAATTTCTCTTCACTCGCATCGAAGGGTGTATTGTCACGAATGCCCATCGTCTCCTCTACTTCGTGAATGGTCACTCCGAACACCTTGTTCTTCTCAGGGTGCTTCCACCACTTGTTGTACACGGTTGCATCGCCAATCTTGCAATTCGCGACGATCTTGTGCCCACCTTCACTGGCCAGAATGAGACACCGCTGCAGGCACCGGTTGTCATCGAAATCCGGGTTGAGCGCTGTGCGTCCGATGACGTACGGTGTGTGCTGCTTGTACCCCACGAATGTACGTAGTGGGAACATCTCAATGTGGAAGCCGATCCACCCATGGTACCCGAACCCACTTCCCTCTGTCTCCTGTTCCTCTACACCATTTCGGTACCACTTCAGGTAGTCCTTGATCCACTCATCGATACGATCTCGGCGAACGATGCGGAGGTGTCCCAATCGATCATCGGTGAGGTTGAGAATCTTGGGATCTCCGTCATGTGTCAACATGAGGTTGTACCCCATGATGGTGATGAAACACTGATTGTATTCACGCATACCATTGAGGATGAACTTCTTCAGGACCTCATTGAATTCATTTGTCTCATCGAATATGAGATTGATCGGTTCCACTTCCTCATCGCTCTTCTCACCCGGTAGTCGAACCCACAACCTGTTGTCAAAATCGTTGTTGAGGCGAAAGTCCTTCTTGGTTCGTTTCTCTTTCACCCATTCCTTGTACATATCTCCTTGCACGGTGTGATAGTACGTGAGTGCATACCCGAGAGTTGAATCGATCACATCACTCAATCGTCCTTGTGAGGCCTTGCGATCGAAGCGTTCGAATGCCTTATTGCGTCTCATTTCACGTCTCTTCTCCACGGTGTTCAGGTAACCGGGTAAGTGTCGTTGTCGCTTCTCACCGAACTCATGGCCGTTCCACTCGTACTCGAGGTACCGCTCGTTCCACGCCTCGCTTCCCACGACGAGATACCTGCGCTCACCTTTGGGATCACTGACGCGTCTATGTGTCACTTGTCTTTTTGGTGTTGCTAGTTTCATCCCGAATATCTTGTTCGACACATAAGCTCTCGTGTCAGGCATGGTCTGATCGGTGAACGTATCACCGACCCTGTAGTACTTGGCAGCCAATCGCTTCCAGGTCGACTTACCAATCTTGATTTGTTTTCCTGTTTCAGGGTTGATAGTATATCCTTCGCGTTGTGAACTCATTTATATAAGGGTCACAAAATCTTTAAGTGGTGATACACGTGTGACCAAAGTGAAATTGTTAGGAGCTTGGCTTCCTCCTTGAGCTACCGAAGGCATCCCTAGAATGGGAAAATGGCATGACCATCCGCATCGTACTCGAATTCATCGATGTCGTAGAACTCGGATTCCGATGAATCAGAATCACTAGAATTGGGGTCAGCGAATGCAATGCTAATGTCTGGATCATTATCGTATGCCTCAGCTTCTTCTTTGGTCATTTTCACCCATTGTCCTTTTACGCGTCTGTAGTTGTCATGGAGTAACTCGTAGTATGCTGTGCCACCAATAATCATGGAGCGATTGCTGGGAGAAAGTATTCTCGACTTGGGAACATATTTCGTCGTATCTGGTGGTAAAGGTGTATCGTACAAGCGATTCAATTTCTCGTCGTACTTGTATCCACGCTTGAGAAGGTTCCAGAAGCGAACTCCGTTGATTTGAATTTCTCGGCCAGTATTGGGATTCAAAGTATGAGTAGGTCTATTCATTTATATATTTATATATTTATATTTTCTCTTTTAACCCTAGATGCTTCCCTAAATGAAGTACAAGAAAACAGAAAACAACACATGGTCTTCCCTGGTACGCACTTGTGAGGACGAGAATATCGAACTCGCCGACATCATCATTCACACCAAGTATCCGATCAATTCCGAGCGTCTATTCGGCTTCAGTGTTTGCACTCCGCAAGCAAATGTGAACTGTGGTTTGATCTTGCACGACTATGATTGCATGGAGATGACGTTGGATGAAACTCGTCCACCTTTGTTTACCGAGGATGAATGGAAGTATCTATTGCCTCAATTGAAATCCAATGGTCTGCTCGGTGTGCCTCTGAACGTGTTTTGGAGAGGCGATGTAGGGAGCAACGAAGTTGCTCCCGGGGCACGTAGTGCCCCCAATTCACTACCCACTCACATAATCGGTGTAACGACCGAGAATCGT